CCATTTGCAACGACATGAATGGAGCTAGAGGGTATTATGCTCAGTGAAATAAGCCAGGCAGAGAAAGACAAGTACCAAATGATGTCACTCATCTGTGGAGTATAAGAACAAAGGAAAACTGAAGAAACAAAACAGCAGCAGATTCACAGAACCCAAGAATGGACTAACAGTTACCAAAGGGAAGGGTTGGGGAGGATGACTGGGGAGGGAGGAATAAGAGCATTAAGGGGCATTATAATTAGTACACATAGTATAGGTAGGTCCTGGGGAAGGCAGCATAGCACAGAGAAGACAAGTAGTGACTCTACAGCATCTTACTATGCTGATGGACAGTGACCATAACGGGGTTTGTGGGGGGACTTGATGATGGGGGGAATCTTGTAACCACAATGTTGCTCATGTAATTGCATATTAATGATACCAAAAAATCCCCCAAACAACTGTAATGAACAACAACAACAAAATACCAGCTCTTATTCAGTCTTCAAAGATGGTTCTGTGTGTGAATAGTGAGGTGGACACAGTTCTGCCTTTGAATTCAGGCTTCGGTGTTCGACATTTTGGAGGCTGACCTGCTTTTGGTTACCTGTTCGTTCCTGTTCTTGCTGTTGCTACAGAGGAGTGAGGGAGCTGCTCTTCTCCTTTTGGTGACTATCTGGTACTTTGACGTGTCGCTCAGGACTGAGGTTTCCTTATTGGTTATCTGTCTGGACGATCTATCCATGGACATAAAAGTAAAGGTATTGAAAGTCCCCTACTATTATTGTATTGCCGTCTATTTCTCCCTTTAGGCCTGTTAATATTTGTTTTATATATTTAGATGCACCCATGTTGTGTGTATAAATATCTGCACATGTTATACCCTCTTGCTGGACTGAGCCCTCTCTCGTTATTGATGTAATGATGGCTCATTTGCATGGCACAGGCTTTTCCATCCCTTCCCCTGCGGTCTGCGTGTATCCTTACATCTGAAATGAATCTTCCGTAGGCAGCATATAGACAGATCCTTTTAAAAAAAATCCATTCAGCCATTCTATGTCTTTGGATTGGAGAATTTAGTCCATACTATCCTATACACTAATCGTAGAAGTTTGAGATGGGACATAATATCAAAACTGATGTGTCCATGTACATTTTTACAGCTCTATGGAAGAAATAGATCAGACTCCAAAAGAAGTTCACCTTGGAAAAATAAAGATTTGACCACTTTGTTCTCTTGTAAATAGCATGGGACCCAGTGCCTAACATGGGGCTGGGTGTGCAAGGGGGGCTCTTGAGGGTTGTTGGTCTGGCATTTTCAAAGGGTCTGGAAGCATGTCTCCTGCAGCACGGAGTCACGCGGAGGGTATTAGAGGTGTCGAGGGAGGCGACAACCTGGTGGTGGTCAGTGTTTTTCTGGATTTTCCAACACTGTTAGAGTCAGAGTCCCAGCAGGAAGTCAGTGGCAACTGCAGACTGAGTAATACGAAGGGAATCTAAGATAGGGACAATCGAATTGGTCTCGGCAAAGTGTCAGGGTAATGCAGTGGGCAGGGCTGTCACAGACAGGCACTGCTACCACTTGAGGCGTGAGTGGGCAGTGGATGGATGGGCTGGTGGGACTGGGAGGGGGAGCTTTTAGGAGGTGCTGCCTGGCAGGAGCTGTGATCTTTGGTGGAGGGTGTGGCCACTTGTTGGTGGAGGGGAGGCTCTGACAGCCCTCTTCCCGCTCTGCGCCCCTAGGAGCCAGGTGACAGGGGGCCTTATTGATGCAGTTCCTAGGGCCCAGGACAGGGTGAAGAGAGGTGGGGAGCACGTCGGGAGGGGAGGTGGAAGCTACCCAGCACAGGCATCTTTACTGTTAGCGCTGACTTATGGAAACGAAATGGAAAACAGTCAGACCGTGTGCCTCAGTGAATTATCTGGGACAGTCTTTAGGGATGACTGATGAGCTGACATAGCCGGAGTCCCTGTGTTGCTTATTAGTGCCTCTTTCTTTTTTTTCACTGTATGCTACATACTTCTCTTTCACGTTGTATTTGAGTGCTACTGAATGAGGAATTCACTTCAATAAATGTCAAAGGAGTAAAGTAATTCTAGCTACTGTGTGGGAGAGAGAATATTGGGGATTACATCTTGTACTTTTCTGTTTCTCTGCTGCTTAGGACTCAGGAATTTGAATGCAGTGAGATTTTATGGACTTTGACACTGGGGTCAGCACAATTGATCACTTGGACAAATAGATAACTTTCCAAAAGCGCATCAATTTCACCTGGAAATTTGGGGTTAAAGAAGAGATACTTTTCCCAGGATCACTAATTTGGGGAACTGTGGTATGAATAGTGATCACTAGTTTTTCTGTAGAGATAAGCTGACTTGTGAGCAGTCAGTGGTATGCCCATAAATATTTAATAACTCAGTCTCTGGATTAAAAGCCCTAATTTGTAGCACTTTCTCATTTCTGTAGTGTAAATATTACCACCATGGCTACTAGCGCGACATCACTGAACACGGCTGGGAAGAGATCTGTGCAGTCGGCCCTTGAGGTCCCACGTTGCTGGCTCCAGCACACCACTGCCCGTAGTCCTCTCCCTGCCACCCCAGGGCAACTGTAGATCCTAAGCCCACACGGGCAATTTCTCCCTAGCTGTCTGTGAGTAGGGCTGGGATCTAAAGTCTTGGGATCACTCATCACCTTGTTGAATGGGAAGGATTCTTCAGAATGGATTTGGGGTTTATTCTGCAGTTGGGCATGAGGCACCCTGCTTTTTTGGTTAGAATCTGATATTTGAGAAGTGCAATTAAATCATTGCCCCCTTATGAAAACGACCACCACTGACAATCTCTTCCTGTTCATAGGTGAGCCGATAATTTTCTTTCTCTTTCCTTCCTTCCTTCCTTCTGTCCTTCTTTTCCTTTCCTTTCTCTTTCTTTCTATTTTACCATTTGACACTTTGAGAAATCACCTAGAATCATCCAGGTTCATTTTTATCTAAGTTTTTAAAGTTTTAACTATTTACCCCTTCCACTCAAAAGAACAGAACATTTCATTTCTTAGTGTTTAGAAATGATTGAAGTTGATTTGTATAAATGGAAAGAATCATTTGAATCTTTTTCTATTAAAGTCCAGAGCAAAATATGCATTTCGTTCTTAAGAGCATTTGACGTGTTGATATTTATACCACCCTATATGGTTCCCATTTTGTATACATTTCATATTTCATTATATGATACAATATACAGTTCCATGTGTATAATAAATATCAAGCATGAGTATAATATTAAGTTAGAATAAGGTTACAGTAAAGTTAATACTAAAATAAGCAACAAACATCTCATTTGCTTTTAATCTTATTTAACTTAACGTTGTTTGTTCTACATTATACACTGAAATGTGTAGAGAATTTATAGTCATAATGAAAATGGATCTGGACGATCTTTTCACCTATTCCCCAAACAGTTATTTCTATTTTATTTACCCAAATGCATTCGTGTGCTCTTTAGTTCTAGTACAATATCCAATTCATTTACAACAGATGTTCAAAAATTAAATATATGCTAATGATGGTACAGTATGAGGAGGGAGAAATAATATCTCATATGTTTAAAAATGCACAGGTGGACTATCTGTAATTAGAAAGAATTTAGCTACTTTTCTGACTTTCTTGTTTACGTAGATAGCCTTGTAAGTAATTAGATTGACAGTATATTAATTGAGTCTTATCTATTGTGTATAGTTATTGCTAAATAGCAGTGACAGGTGGAAGAAAATAAATGTGAATAAATCATTTGATTTAAAAATATTCCTAAAGAATCTAGCAAATAATTTTGCTCATTATTCAACATAATAGTACCCTTATGACATCTGCCAATTGTTTCCTACCTCAGAATGCATATTTGGCTTCGACGCTGTGTAGTACACGATCCTTTGTGAACTACCAGCATTTCCAAGGTCAAGAAGAAATGATTTCACCAGGAATGTGAGTCCTTTCACCTCTGCTTTGGGGTCTTCTCACTACTTTGTCACATCGATGAAATCACTCTTGTCCCATTAAAATCTAAAACATTGCATAAAGGGAAATAATGTATTTAGCTTCTCCATTTTGACAGTTTTATCAATCTGCCCATCCATCATGTTTTCATCAAAAGGATGTCTGTGTTCTCTATGCTTTTCTCTCTCCGAATGTGCTGACACTGGGGCTACTACGCTGAGAACAGCAGTAACAACCCCATGACTCTTGGTCTCCAGAGCCTTCAGGGGACAATTAATTCAGTGGAACTGAGAACACTCAGGTCAATCATACAGGAGCTTCCCTACCCACTTGGATGGGGGCTCAAACTGGAGCTCACTGACCACTGCAGTGAGCATAGCCCCATGCCTGGCTTCGTGCATGCATCAGGGTCTCCTCTCTGACCCCATGGAGGTCAAGTATGTCAGACGGGTTCCTCAATGGGTTATTTTTAAAGCTTTTTACTCCATCTGATAACACTAATCTTCTCCCCTTTGTAAACTGGTCTGACTGGTATAAATCCATATCATCATTTCTTCTGTTTGTGAAAGGTCTTTGTTAATTGGTGTAGCATTGGTATAACCTTTTGGGTAATGTTTTATTCTCAGTAACCCCTAGAATATCCCACAGTGGATATTTCACAGCTATTTTTTTTTTAACTGGCAATCCTCTTCCTAATCCACATGGTCTTTGAAGATAGTGGTGGTTTAAAAATTTGTTTTTAAATTATATTATACTCCTATCTTCAAGGGGGGAGCGAGCCTCGTTTCCCTTCTCTTGAGTGTGAGCTGGACTTAGTAAATCCTTTCTAATGAATAGAATACGGTGGAGGGGACTGTGTCACTTCAGAGACGAGGTCATAAGACATTGCACTTCCAGTTTGGTTACTTTTTTGGGTCACTTGATCTGGCGGGCGGGGCGGGGGAGCCAGCTGCCATGGCATGAGGAAAGATACATGTGACGAGGAACTAAGCCTCCAGCCAGCAGCCATGTGAGTTAGCTATCTTGGAGGTGGATTTTCCGGCCCTAGTCAAACCTTCAGATGGTTGCAGCCCAGGCAGACGTCATAACTACATGACGTGGGACGGACACTAATCCAGGACCCCTGAGCTGAGGTATTTTTGATTCCTGCCCCTTATCAACTATGTGAGTTAGTGAACATTTGTTTAAACCACAGATTTAGGGGTATCTTATAATGCTGCAAGAAATAACTAACACAATGGTTTGCCTTCTTGTTGCAATGAGCGTCAGTTGTAGGTAAAGCCTCTGTTCCTTATTTTTGCCTCCGTAACACTTAGATAGCAGAGTCCTTTGAATTCTCCAACACATTCTCCTTAGTACCTCGGATGGAAAAAATATTCTTTCATTTTTATCTCCTTGCACTGTGGATGCCATTCTTACCCATCTTTCCTAAGATCTTGTGTCAAATTTTCACCTATAATCTCATCCCCTCCTTGGCTTCAATAAGCTCTGGTCCCTCCTGTCATCAAAACAAAACTTCCCTTTGACCTTGCTGCTTTTTAGGGCACTTATATTCGCTTACAAAGTCTTGAAGCGCCGTCTACCCTTTTCTTCTACGTCCTGGCCTGCTGGCTTCTGCCCTTACGGAGGCATTTTCTCTCGGGGATTAATCACCAGTCTCTTTTCCTCATCCCCTCCTTCCCGATTTCTGAAACCCGCAGTCCTCAGATCTCAGGGGTCCCGAGCTCCGGCACAGACCCTGGAGGCCACCTGCTGGTTTCTGCTTGGAGGCCCACACGGGCTCGGACCCTCGCCCAGGTCACAGAGGAGCGTCTGGCAGAGCCGGGCCCAGGTCCGGCCTCCATCTCCCCCAGGCCCGAGGCCTTTTCATCACACCACAAACAATTCCTTGAAACCTTCACCATAGTCATGAAACTACATTTTCTTGTTTTTCTTCTCCTTTTTTTAACTGTTTCTTCTCAGCCCCCTTTTTAGTTCCTTTTCCTGTGGCCCTGAAGCTGCTCCTTGTCCTCGGTGTCTCTCTGTGGTCCCCTTTACCCGCCCACCATGCGATCTCACCTCCAGTTCTGGTCCAGTCATGAACTCCATGCTGCTGACGGCCCCCAGGACGCCTCCACTGGGAGGTCGCACGGTCCCCGCGCCCCCCGGGACAAGGGGGGGTGCTCCGCCACCTGGCCCCAGGCGCTTCCCCTTCTCCCATCCTTGGGAGTAAATACACAGAGCCGTGCTGTCATCCACCTGTCACTTCTCATCTTACTCTTCTTTTCGTTCTTCATTCCATTTATTCAACAAAAATGTGTTTGTGCATGGTGGTGCCAGAAACATGAGGCGCCGGGACACACAGTCTAGAGTGTGTTTAATTCAGTCCTCTCTGGACGTCTCCATGGCCACAGGGCTGTCACCTGTGTGTGCATCACTCTGACAGTGCACGCAGTGTGTCTGCCTGTCTCGTCTTGCTCTCCTGTCCTTCTGTACTGCTTTCCTGTGGTTATCTGGGTCCTACCGTTCCCCGTTTTCACCACATCAAGACCCAGATTCTGAATAAACCACCTTAGCTCTGCTGTCCGGCTGCTTCTGTCAAGAACCCCGTGTTCCGTGCCAGGTCCCTCTGTTCTGCAGAACCTTCCGGATGCCCCTTCTGACTTCCCTCGAGCCTCACTCTTCTGCTCCTTCGGCTCATGTCTTAACCAGAGTGGCTCCAGAGTAATTACTCTTAAAGGTTTCTGAGAATTGTTGTAAAGATGGGAAGCGAATACGAACCAAGGGACTCAAAAGGGCTGGAATAAACTTGTCTACTAAAATATATTGTCATTTTGACATGTTCTATTAAAGTATTGTTTTATACTGACATACCATGGCACCTTTATACAAAACCCCCTTGGGGGGAGGTGAGGAGAGAAAGGGTGACATCAGTGAGGAAAATTGACCAGAACATTTGCTTTTCCCATTACCCTTGATCAGACTTACTACCAGTGGCTGTTGGTTAGGGTTTCGGGACCTTGCGATTTGAGGTAAACAGTAATTCCCCACGTTTCACAATCATTTCTTGATTCAGGATACTTGGAAGACAGTGGTCAATGGGGTCATTTCACAGAAACCAAAAAGGTGATCTTCCCAAAAGGAAAGTTCCCTCATGAATGTGACAAATCTTGAGGGTGACCGAATGTCTTTATGAAACCAAACCGGTTTAGAAGTGAGGAAGTGAGTAACTCACTCCATGTGCTGCCTTTCTACATCTCTTATCTATGATGTATCTTATATTAAAATCACAGATTACTCTGATTTTTATTGTGGTGACTGTGAGATGTGGAGTCCTCCTAGAATTTCTAGGCTGTCAGAGATTTCTGGATGTAGGTATATACGTAGGCTATGGAGACCTCACCATTTTCCAGATAAGAACCTATTATGTCAAATAGAGATGATAATGTCCCTATTTCTTTGTCATTTTCTGACTTTTTAATTAATTCATTTATCTATTCTACCGTTTCTTTTTTATTGAGTGCCTACTACATTCCTGGTCAAGTGCCAAGTGCTGTGGAGATGGACAAGGTTTTGACCCTTTTCTCATAACTCAAAGCCAACAGACCATAAGCGGAGTGAAAATGAGGTCTTCTCAGTTCTCCTCTCGACTCCCGTTGGTTCTCATCTTCCTGCCCACTTTCCTTTTTCTATTTTTCTTCCCCCAAAAGGCCCTTCTCAGGTGGCATCGGCTTCTTTCTGAACCCTTAATATCAACAACGATGATAGTGGTGGCATAATCTTTCATGGTGAAGGTCAGGGAAAGTGGAATTTTAATGCAAGCTGAACATCTGATTTGGTTCATTCATCTGATTCTTTAACATAAATAGTCTTTATTTTCTGACTATTGTGGTGCATATACACAATGGGATATTACTCAGCCATAAGAAGAAAACAAATCCTACCATTTGCAACAACATGGATGGAGCTAGAGGGTATTATGGTCAGTGAAATAAGCAGGATGGAGAAAGACAAGTACCAAATGATTTCACTCATATGTGGAGCATAAGAACAAAGGAAAACTGAAGGAACAAAACAGCAGCAGAATCACAGAACCTAAGAATGGACTAACAGTTACCAAAGGGAAAGGGACTGGGGAGGCTGGGTGGGAAGGGAGACATAAGGGGAGGGAAAAGAAAGGGGGCATTATGATTAGCATGTATTGTGTGTGGGGGGCACGGGGAGGGCTGTGCAACACAGAGAAGACAAGTAGGAGCTCTACAGCATCTTACTACGCTGATGGACAGTGACTGTAATGGGGTTTGTGGGGGGACTTGGTAAAAGGGGAAGCCTAGTAAACATAATGTTCTTCATGTAATTGTAGACTAATGATACCAAAAAAAAAAAAAATCGGACTCCGGTGTCAGGCATAGTTGGGTTCCACTGCTGGTTCCACCGCTTACTGGTAGGCGACCTTGGGTAAACTTCTAAGCCTCTGTTTCTTCATCTACAAAATGGGGGGAAATAACAATATCTGTGTTATAGGATTTTGTGAGGATCAGGGGAGACAATACATGTAAAATGCTTAACACTTTCCCAATACTGATAATGTCTATGATGTCTGGCATTCTCCACCCTTTATTTCTCTCCCAGAGGACTATAGTATAGAACTCCATATACAGTGGGTGATTTTCTACCTGAATTAAATATGTATGTAAATTGTGTTCTTTTTCATCCTTGAATAATTTAAACACAGCTGAGGATGTTTCCTCCAGGCTTTGTAAGAGCATTCTTTAGGAGATGATGTCGAATTTGGAAAATGTTGACTCAGAAACAGAACTTTTCAGTAAGTTATAAACAAGGGACTCTACAGGATTCTAATGGGAATCCATGTTCTTCAGTTAGCTCAATTTTTGGTCCCACAGTCCTTCAAAGAATGTGTTCAGTAAATACTGTTGGTAAATACTGTTGGTTGAGTTCAGAGTTAGATTCTCTGGAATTAAATTAGCACCACTTTCTGAAGGCATTTTAGTTCCAGCAATTCCTTGGTAGACACAATACTCCAAATCAGTGTTATGGCATCGTTTTCAGGAACCCCAATTCACATTCTTACTGCATTTTGGGGAAAAGGAAAATACTTTTTCTTCTGTATTGGCAGTTTGCAGGCAGGCTTCTGCAAATTTTAGCATTCTTGCCAGTAATTGCTCAGCAGTCATTTCTAATCTTGTTTTGCTTAGAATACATGCTCATGGGAAAAGGTCCAACACCGCAATTGTTAGTTTATTAAGAGAAATGCTGCAAGTTGATCAGAAGACAAACTGAAGTCATATCTCTTTGGAAGTGCCCCTGCATTCACAAGGAAGGAAAAGGGAATCTTGCAGGGGAAGCAAATGAGATTGCCTAATGCTGAGGTCAGCTTAGTTAAGTTCTGACATTCTAGCCTCATTTTATGGGTGAAAGTTACTTTCAAATTAAAGAGCAAGATGCCTCTTGTATGCAGTGGGATTTGCAGAGAGTCAAACAAGTACATCTATATCAGGAAATTCTATTCTAGCTTTTACTGTGCTGATGGAGAAAACATCTCTCCAGATGGACTTCTGTTTATACAGCCTTTAAAAGTTTTACTTGCACCCAGTTTGTCCCATTGGCAGTACTTCCAGTTCTAATTGTTAAGACTTTAAGCCCGTGGTTGTGTTTATAGAACAGGAAGAGAAGGGACCCTTTTAGAGAAAAGAAGCTACAAACTCATTCTAGGAATAGCTTTTCGTAACATAATAAACATAATAAACAGTGCTGATGGCTTGTGAATAGGGTTTTCATTATTTTATTATGAAATTAGGAATTGTATAGTGAATATCCATATACCCCCCTCTCTATTCTATTATTAGTATTTTGATATATTTATTTGATCATACAGCTATCCACCCTGAGCCATTTCTTTATCCATTTATCAGTCTATCTTATTATTATTTTGCGGGTACACATTTCAAAGTGAGTTGCATTCATAGTAAGTGTTGGACTCATTTTGAATCCTGGATGACACCATCTGGCCATTTGGCTGATGCTATATTGCATCAGGTGGGACTAGGTTCAGCTAAAGTTAACGAGAAAAAAGAGTAGCTTAAGGGGTATAAAAAGTGCTTTCTTTGGTGAAAGAAGGCTGAAGGTAGGAGTT